CACGGTGAGTCGTCATCCGTAATCGTTAGATATCGGCAATGAACCGCGAGGCCGAAGGCTACGGCATAAAAGCCGTTAAGCTGAGAGGGTAAAAGCGGCCCTGGTGGCGTAACGGATAGCGCACTCGCCCGGAAAGCGTGAGGTGCGGGTTCGACTCCCGCCTGGGGCACGACTTTTGCCCATAACTCAGCATTCTTGTGATAACATTCGGAACGCGTACTGCGGCGTAAAACAGCAGTTATCATAACGAAGATCACCGTCTGTGCGCTGTGGATGAAGAGCGTGCCAAGTAGGATGAGTGTGCCACGGTGGCAAATCCGCTCTACCACTTGTTGGAGCAGGAAAGCGACAACCGTTGGTGGAATCCAGTGATACGAACTCTATGATTCAGTATTGCTGTTTGCTCGCTCCAACAACCGTTGGGAAGTGGGTCTGGTGCCGCGCAGAACCCGTCCTTCCCGACGCACCCCTTCATAAGCAGCAAGACGAGACTGTTTATTACGAGTAAGTAATCAACTTCACGCTCCTTCACCTTCTAGGGGTATGTCTTCGGGAAGACGTAACATACGAGGTCAAAGCTAATTGTAAGAACACATTCCTAATTCGAGGTTTCAATAATAAGCGATCCGATCGTGCGAACGAATCGCTCGAACCATTCAAGGGGTCGGATCGCGAAGTATGAACGCGCTCTAATATGTAATCTGCGAACAACTTCACCTGAGTATAGTAGCTGGAACTGAGCACCACGGCTAACAACAGGCAATTGGATCGGATCGCTTTAGGTTGCAAAGGAAAATGTAGAGAAGCAAAACAGACTATTGAGGTAGAAACTTAAAGGAGAAAGTTGAAATGGGCAAAACTGCGTACGATGCAACACAATTCGCAAAAGAACCCTCTGCTCTGAGGTTGGCGCCCAGGATTTTAGAAGTGGACAGGGAATACTGAGATACGCAAGGAACACTGTCGCAGAGTTCAACCTTCACAGATATTTCATCCGATATGTTTTACATTAAATACCAAAAATTTCATGCCGCGTAACTGTGTCACGCTGACAGATGTAGAACGTGTGTGTTGAATGAACTTCTAAACATCGAAACATCAATCTTATACTAACCTTTGTATCGAGATACCTTTGCCAACAGTTCGAGCATGCCCAATGATGGCAATCTAAACCTCCAAGAGGGGCCATGGTGCAACATATATCGCATTCCCCAACAGACGATAAAGGAGGCGGTGCAGGTTTCCGGGGCAGTACTTGGGCTTTGCGAAGGAAAGCGTCAGTATCAGGATTTTCATAGTATCTGCAACAGCCGTCTTTGAAATAGATGCTCCACGGATGTTCTGTTATTCCACGATTGCAACAAAGCTGTCACCCATAGAATTAAAAATGAAACCATTTGAAAAAACAAGAACGTGGACGTCTTTCTTCAGAATGATTTAGAGCGAAAGATCCTAGGCAACTTGCAGTGCAGTAAAGAAAGCAGAAGCGTCATCTTGAAAATAAAGAAGCTGTATGCGTCACTGCAAAGTAGGGG